TCCATTGGAGTTGGAACTTGGAACACATTGTTCCTTTGATGTATAGCTTATATATGTTTTTTCCCTCAAATAATATAAGGTAAGATCATCGATTAAAATGTTACATATTTCATGTATAATATATAATTGGATTAGAAAGTCATTAAAGGAAAGTAACTAGGTTGTCCCAAGAGAAGGCACATGATCATGATAGCTTTAACTTTAGAAACACCTATATTTGACTTCGGTGTAGCTAGTTGAAGGACTTGAATAACGTATTTCTAAATATGAGTTTAACTTTAACCGTTAAATAATGTGAAAAAAAAAAACTTAATTTGACGAAGTTTATTAAAAACTTTCAATGATTGCGCAGACAACGTTTGAGTGTTAAAATTAAAAGGGAGATATTAAGCAACTTAATTTGAATTAATCTTTTCTATCTTTTAGGTATGAAAAATTATGTGTATGATTAAAAATCAGATCAAGTGGGAGGTTAAACCCTGTCTTTAATTAAGGAACATATGTATCAAGTTATTTGAATTAATGGATTTTTATTTTTTATTTTATTTTATATTTGAGGAATCTTTTTGTTATTAATATTATTTACTTATTCAGTTTAAGAGGCAATCCGATTATCCATTAATGTTTACAACTCAAAAGAGTAAAAGCAACATATTGAGGTTATTTATAGATCAAAATTATGGTCATTACAATCGTAGCTATTGCAGTTGTTGTGATATAAAATGTGACTATTATATATTAAATTATTATGACTTACACCAAATATATATATAAAAAGTTCTATAATAATAAGACTTGATCAAATTCTTGTTTGATCCAGATTGTTACGGTCGTAAATAGCACCAAAATAATATTGGAGTCGTAGCTGTTGTAGATGAAAATTTAGACTTGTAATTGTCATTTTAATTTTTATGACCAACACAACAATAATATATGAATTTGACTATAAATTTCACTAAATTTAAAATACACTTATCAACCTAGGGATTTTTTTTATTGAATTAAACGATTATCTTGTCCTTAGCTAGATGCTTCAGAGGTGAAGTTATTTTCAATCAAGTGAATGTTATTTGTTATAATGATCTACAAACATAAAAATTAAGTCATATAGAACTTATATTTTTATTATTTAAAAATAATAAACTAAAATCCAAGCGATATGTTTGCATAAAAGTAATTAGAAAATTAAATAATTAGCAACCGAAATTAAAAAAAGTGAATATTAGTAAATTAATAATATTAATAAATTCAAAGGCTAAGTTTTGCGTACATTCAACGGGGAACATCTGATCTAATATCGCTTAGGGTAGGTTTGTTTTGTTCGTATATTTTCATCATGTAATTTAATTAAAACAGACAAAACAAGCATGAAATAGAAAGGCAACATTGTAGCCATAAATGAAAAACTTCTCAATTAAAACCTAGTATATTCCATCCACTTCATGAAAAGCACTTATATTGGGTATTATAATAGACTTTGGATATGAAAGAAAGACATAAATGATAAAAGTCAATATATGTCTGAAAAAAGTTATCTCTCTCTCTTTCAGTTCCGGTTTATTTCCAACTAACTGTACATAACTCTATTAAGGGAAATACTATTATATTCATGTATCATGGAATTTATATATACTTAAATAATTGTACATAATTATAACGGTACATAAATTACCGTTAACTCAAATTGCTACATAAAAAAATATATTTTTTCTTTCTTTTTTTTGGAAAATAAAAATTTAACACATGCATTAAATGCCTTTTTCTTAATAAATAATGATAACATGACATCCTCGTACACTTCACAGATGATTTAATTCAACCAATGAAATATTTCTACATTCTTAGAGAAAATATGGAGTTAACGAACATAACGAAAATAGATGCAAACTTTTCCATCAACCAGATTCAAGAAATATAGATATCATTTATCAATTTCCTATACCACACTTATTTCGAAGTGGTATACTTAGCCAAAACATTTAGCCATTAAATTGTCCATCAACAAAGTTACATTCCACCTCTTTGACCTTTCAAGGTCTTTAAGTGAAAATATTATGTATAATTATTATAAATATCAAATAAATATAAATAATAAGAAACAAGACAATCATTAAAATTTTCTTTAATTTTCAATAATAATTCATCATATTATACTTTCTAAATCTCTAATTGATCACACAGGCTCTTCATTTAACCAAACATATCTCTAATTGATTAAGTTAAATAGAGGTCCCTCACGCTATTAGCAAACAAGTATGAAGGGCTTTTTACCCTTTTAATCCCCATCCGACCGAGAATGTCATATTTCAAGATCACTCACGAATTGCTTATCGAGATAACTCCTTAAGATTTAATCAAAGCCACGATTCTCGCATAGGTTTGAGTACAATTACAATGCAGACAATAGATCTATTATAGGGATAAGATCCATACGTTTTTTTAGGGGATTGAGATTGAAGGAAAAAGATCCATATCCTTAATATGACACTTATATATATAGAAAAAGGATGTTATGTGTAGGCAAGTTACACTCAATTGGATATTCTAGGACAAGATGACGACTAGATTTTCTTAGAGCTTGCACCACTAAGGGTTCTCTGGCTACTATCCCTATATTGGAACACATATGATGTCATCCATGACATTTAAGCTTAAAAAATTTCCTTTGAGGGCATAAAACCATTTTACACCAAGACGAAAGTTTACTTAATCCAAATCACTAATTAAAATCATGCTAGATATGTAAATATAAATTAGAATTGTTGTAACGACCCGCCTTAGGCCGTCACATCAACAACTAATATGACAACTAAAATAAAATAATATATAATAAAGAAAATAGAGCAAAGGCCAGTTACACTAGAGTGTAAATATAAAATGACGTGTAAATTGTTTTCATCATATAAAACATAATTTTTAAAAAGGGTCATCATCAGTAGGGTTATACAATCATCCAAAAAGATAATGAATGTACAACATCATGAAAACATCAAAAGGGACACCCTAGGTGCTGGTCAAGCTCTAAATCTAGTCACTTCTCAAAGCAGCTACCAAAAGACTCCTTGTCATCCCAAAGCCTCACACCTGATCTGCTCCCCCACAGAGTGAGATCATCATAGTCCACATCATGGAAATATAAGGATTAGCACGTATAAAACCAACCATAATACAATAAAATGAAATATCATTAAACTAGATATTCATCAACAATATGTATCCATACCAAGGGAATGACAACATTATAACAAGTCATTTCCATGCCAAATATAAACCAATCCAAAATCCAATATATACACATTCATGTCAATGCATACATATTCTATGATAATAAAGAATCCAAAACCAATGTATACAATCCATACCAAATGCATACATATTTCACATCCAAACCAAAGTCACACCACTCTATAATCCCATGAAGTAGCCAACACATCCAAACCAAATGTTGACCTCAACACATCCAAACCAAGTGTTGAATTCGTGAACATGTCACCTGCCCATGTCCCACACCAAACCTCTCATGGAAAATATACAATTGGGTTACGTCGTCACGTAACCCTGGTGATCGCGGCCACTTCATCCATCGGTATGACTCGGCCTTGCCCCCATACTAGTAACAAATAAAATACTTAGAGAAGTACTTTAGAATCCACCTAACATCTGAAGTGGTTTATTATATAATCTTTGAAAAAGTTCCATATTGGAATCCTCACCATGGGATTCCCAAATTCCATATTTTTCCAAAGATTATATCCTGATCTCACCAAGAGATCTCCCAATCCATACCATAACCTTACTCCTCTAAGTCCTATTAGCTTTCCAAACCAAAAACACATAGCATATTCCATAATTACATACAAACTTTTCCATAACCATGCCAAATTACTCAATATAACAACATAAATAATTAAACACCCAAAACAACTATCAATTTAACCAAATCACTCTTTATGAAATGACAATCTTCACATAAAACAACATATCAAGAGTTATACTACTCCTATCATGCTCATCTTTATCTCATATGAAATATAAGAAGATTTCCTACAACTCTTATGAAGACATCAAGTCCTAATTCCATCATCTACGTTGTTAAAATTCTAAAAACTGCAACAACTATAACCAATGCTGGCAGCTTGACCCCTGTTCACTAAAACAGTCATATCTGGCGTTCTAGACCTCCTTTTTGGGTGATTCCAACGCCATTGGAAAGCTAACATCCAAGGCTACAAATTTCATGAAGACTTCAAGACTAACATACTCACGCCCGGCGCACTAAAATCCCGCCCGGCTCAAAACTCAAACAGAGACCTACAGAGGTCATTGCGCCCAACGCAATTATGCTGCACCCGACACAATTATGCTGCACCCGGCGCAATATCAGTAACCAAAACACAAGGACCACGTCTGATATTGCGCTCGGTGCGACTAACCTCGCGCCTGGCGTGATTTGGCAATGATGGTCTCTGATGAATTCACGCCTAGCGCCAAGAACTGCGCCCGGCGCATTTACAACCAGAAACCCTCGAAAACCTTGAAAATTCGTTCCAATCATGAATCCAATCCAAATTACATGAGTTCGAACCATTATAAAGCATAAACAATATCCAAAAACAAAATTTTAAGCAATAAAATCAAGTGTTAACCATTAATCCATGGAAATCATGAAGAAACCACAACCAAAATCCTTTCCCCTCAATCCATCCTTAATCAGGCATAAATCATGGAATTAATATGATATTTCAAACTCATACATACTAGATTAAGTCTTATAAGTACTATCCTTACCTTAGAAACCTTAGAAATGAAAGATTTGGACAAAACCCTCAAATCCCAACTCAAACTTTAATCTCCCTTTTCAAGGCTTTAGAGGCCAAATCTCTTAAAACTCCAGTTGTGAAGATTGATTTTGGCTTGATAAGCTTCCCAAATGTGTCCTCAGCTTCCCTCCGGACCAGAGCCCCTCTCTCTACTTTCTCTCTCTAGAACTGTCCCTGTCTGACAAATGAGACCCTCCGGTCCTAAGTCCCTATATATAGTCATTTTCTAAAATTTTCAAATTTCACCCTTAGCAACTATTTACCTCAAATATTCTATTCCTTGAATTATTTCAACTCCCTAAGCTCTAAAACAACCTCAAATTCACTCAGAAAGACCGGATTTATCTTATGTTCATATCCTTCAATCTCCTACCCATCATATTCCTTTTCATGCAATACGCACAACTCACCACCATATGAAATGCAACATGTATTAACACACAAACAAACATCACTTTCAGATACATATGCTTGGAATAATGAGTTGCATGTCATAATACTTCACTTAACTAAGATGCGAAGGAAGGTGATCAGTCTTCTTCCCTCTTAGTACCAATTCAGTATAATGGTGTACAATGCATCATTCACCAAATTCATGCACACACATGCCGATATAAACCTCTCAAAACATTAACCTCTCATTTCATACTATAAAATCACTACCATGCTTAAACAACTAATCAAAATCACATCAGCATACAACATGCATAGAGGTAAGTACATTTCAAATTCACATCTCCATAATCCAATCCAAATCCATATAAACAACATATACATACATGCATACATACATACATAAATATATAGAGTATATCTATCAAATAGCTCGGTATTTCCATGACGTTACAATTGTGACACCCTCTAACCCGCATATTATATAACACACAAATCATTAAAACTAAATAGAAAGGTCCTTCATAAATAAATTTTAGCATGTTCAATATAAAAGGTATCACGTTTTCAACAAAACAAAATCAACTAAAATCCCAATGAAATCTATTACAAAAAAAATTAATAATTATCTCAAAACATGACAAAAAAAGATAATCCCAATTGCAAGTACTAGGCCTCACCAACAACATCTTCAACTTCATGATATAAATCACCTACAAGAACATACAAAAGAGAAAAACATAACAAGGAAAGTGAGAAACATCTCACTCTAACTCATGATGTAAGATGCAGCCGGACAACCAAATACAAATAAGACATATACATATATACACAACATAGACAAATTGATAACAATAACTCTTTATGACATAATAATTAAATATCACATAATAATAAAATACATTATGTAATAGACATGGACTACATGTTATCATACATGTGACATTAATAAAAACATTACATATCACACTTATGCATTACCGTTAGCAATCCATGTAAAATAGCATTAGAGTACATGTCAGGTCACATCCTTTATGCACTCTCACTAAGAGGACATATTACTAAGGTCTGATTGAGATAACTGAGTCGCATAAGATACATCTCAATCTATTAACACAAAGGACAAGATTGAGACTTTCAAACCAAACTATCACCCAGAATTGATCTCCAAACTTTTACACAAGGAGATCTTCCCTAACGGTATATTTTATATCATAAACTACATCTCAAATGTCTACTTTCTAACTCAACAACCAAAGCTTAATTTTATTAATCACATGCAAATAAATCAGATAAATATCAAAGTATATTTATATTAGAGTTTTCATAATAAGACACAACTCATACTCAAATTCTCTTCTCCCAATTTAATAGGTAAAACATATATTAAAGCCTAATTCTACATTGGAAAATTAGGCTTTGTAAACATAACCTTAAATTCTAAACTTATAAACAAGTTTATTTTGATTTTTTTTATATTATTTTTAGTAAATACTTTAGAAGAAGTTTATCTAAAATAAGATTATCTCAATGACTTGTTAACAAGATAGATGAGAAAGAGAGCAAGTCTGTTGTCTCATTTTGTATACCGAGAATGAAAACGTCGTAAATCTTAGAGCGTGTTTGGATATACGTTGAAAACGTGAAAAACCACGTTCAACGTGGAAGCTATTAACGTTGAACGTGGTTTTCCACGTTTTCAACGTATATCCAAACACGCTATTAATCCCTCATTCTCATCTCCTCTGTTCACAAAAAAATCATAATGTTTGACTTGAACCTACACTAATTCCTTTTCCTTTTAGACGAATCCTGGGCTCATAACTTATAATGCAGAATTGAAAGTGTGAAAGAGAAAAGCAGACAGAGAAGTAACAGAAATAAAAGGGATAAAAGTGTGATTGTTTTATTTAAAAAAGTTTAGAAAGGTGGTAGAGAGAAAAGACGAGACAGGTACCCTTAAACAGTAATGCGGGCACCCTTCAAATTTTGGGATCCGTTGGGGCAGTTGAAGGAGTGATGAATTCCGGAGTGGGGGACAGACTCTGGTAAAAGAGATACAATGAATTCGGCGGGGTTCTGGAAAGAGATGGAGCGGGTGACAGACCCTGGTAAAAGATTTGCAGCCCAGTTGCCGGCGTGGTTGAAGAAGTTATGAATTCCGTGGGTGCGGTTGGCACAGCGAATGAGTCCATCCTTGAAAACTTGTGAGCCTGATCCACCGTTGTTAAAGGAATCTCGAATTCCCAAACTCTCGATCTCTGCCCTGGTGAAATCTTGTAAGCCGTTTTCGAGGTTGTTAAAGGAATCTCCAATTCTCAAACTGTAGATCGTTGCCCTGGTGAAATCTTGTAAGCCGTTTTTGAGGTTGTTAAAGCAGTATAGGATTTGGGAGAAGTGGTCCCTGATCCATGCATCCGTGAAAACTTGTGAGTTTTCTTCGTTGTTGTTGTTTATAAAGGAGCCTATTCTTCGGGAGAAACCGAGAACACGTAAGCCACTGGTATTAGCAGAGGAACGTTGTTGCCCAAAACCATTGCTCTCACTTGCCATGTTGCTCAAGTCTCTCGCTTCAAATTTACTGTTCAAATGAAGGAGTTATGAATTCCGTGGGTGCGGTTGGCACAGCGAATGAGTGAATCCTTGAAAACTTGTGAGCCTGATCCACGGTTGTTAAAGGAATCTCGAATTCCCAAAGTGTTGATGGTTGCATTGGTGAAATCTTGTGAGCCGTTTAGGAGGTTGTTAAAGGAGTCTAGGATTTGGGAGAAGTGGTTGCTCTCACTTGCCATCTGTTTAATAGCCTTTTCCGCTCAACTCTCTGTATACTACTGGCTTCAACTTCAAAGCTGTCACCATGGCAACTTCAACTTGTTACCCAAAATGACCATTCTGTCCATTCATTTGCCTTCACACGTGCCACACATCACGCTAGCTACTGCCATTTTTTTCATGTCTCCCCTCTGCATTTTTTTTAATTTATTTACCCAGACTTAGTTAATTTTTTTTATTAACAATAAAGTAACTTTTATCTAGCAAAATAAATTTATTATTATGTTTTATATTATTTTAAAAGATGATACAATTATACATATATTTTTTTTTTACTTTTTTATGTCTAAATCACATCTAAATACTCCTCTTCCTTTAATCTAAGCGTGTGGTTCAGCGGTAAGGATTGATCCACGCTTAAGCAAGGTCAGGGGTTTGAATTCTGCCTTGTGTATGCAGCCGCGTTAAATCTTGGGGTCAACTATCCCACCCTTTAAGGTGATACTCCAGGAACGAGATAAGAGTGAATACTCCAGAGACGAGATAGGAGTGAATACTCCAGGGACGAAAAAAAAAAAAACTCCTCTTCCTTTGTTTCAAAATTGTCAACTAAATAACAATAAAAAAAATATATCAGGTTTAATTTTTATAATAATAATAATAATAATAATAATAATAATAAAATATTTGAAAAAATCATCATATAATTATTTTTTAAAGATTGGGTTTATAATAATAAGAAAACATTTTTTTTATAAAAATGGACACGTTCCAACAGAGGTAAAAAAAGAAGAAGAAAAAACTCATTTTCAAATAAAAAACATATTTTGTGCGAAAATATATTGATTAAATTAAATAATAAGAATTTTTTAAGAATAAGTCTAAACTTTATTAAGTGTTATGTTTTTAGATTAATAAATGCTTATGTTTGAGTTTTTTTCATTATTAATATTATATTGTATAATTTTTTAAAATAAATAAATAAATACAATTACTATTCAATTGGTCTAATCTTAAATATTATTATTTTATAATAAAAAATAATATTATTTTCTTTTAATAACAATATTAATTATTAATTAAAATTTTAAAATTGATCTTTTAAAGTCTTTAAAGATAATTTTGAAAATACAGTAATTAATAATTTAAAAACTTTGAATAAATACTTTTCTTAATAAGTACAAAGAGACTTCAATATATCTCTTGTCATGGAAAAGTTTTCATAAATATTTAGATTTTAAATTCATTGTAAATTCTTCATCCAGTCAAAGTATTTCACTTTAAAGAGTTTAAAATTCTTTAAACAAATAAGTTACTTCATTTAATTTACTCATTCAAACACACTTAAGTGTTGACTATGAGCCAAAGGTGAAGGATAATAATCTACTAACATTAGGAATGGTTTTGCCATTTTATGGACATTAGGCAAAATAATAATTAGATGTCTTAATATTAGTGTAAAATAAAATATATTTAACAAAAAATATACATGTAAGTTTATTAAAACAATTATATATATTATTATACTAAACACATAATATAGTTTTAGAAGGGACAAGTATAGTTATAGTTATAGTATAATATGTCTTCAAAATTTCTTTTAAAGACATATAACCATTTTACACCAAGACGTCTACCCAATCCAAATCACTAATTAAAATCATGTTAGATATGTAAATATAAATTAGGATTGTGACACCCTTTACTTCGCATATCATAACATACAAATCATTAAAACTAAACAGAAAGGTCTTTCATAAATAAAATCCAACAAGTTCAACATAAAAAGTATCACATTTTCAACAAAACAAAAACAACTGAAAATCCAATGGAGTCTATTACATGAAAACCAATAATCATTTTAAAGCATGACAAGCTGCAAGTACTAGGACTCATCGACAACATCCTCAACCTCATGATGTAAATCACCTGCAAAAATATATAATAGAGAAAAATATAACAAGGAGAGTGAGAAACATCTCACTTTGACTTATGATGTAAGATGTAGCTGGACAACCAAATACAAATAAGACATATACATATATACAATATAGACAGATTGGTAACAATAACTCATTTCACCCTTTTATGACAATAATTTAAATACCACATAACAATAAAATGCATTATGCAATGGACACAGACGACATGTTATCGTGCATGTGACGCTAGTAAAAATATTACATATTACACTTATACATTATCGTCAACAATACACATAGAATAACCTAAGAGTATATGTTGAGTCATACCTTTTGTGCACCCTTATCAAGAAGACATATTACCAGTATTTGGTTGAGATAATTGAGTCGCATGAGATACATCTCATGAACGCAAGAGCGAGATTATCTTATAAACAAGTTTATTTTGATTTTTTTATTTATTATTTTTTAATAAATAGAAGAAGTTCATCTAGACATGTCTTAAGATTATCTCAATGACTTGTTAACAAGATAGATGAGAAAGAGAGCAAGTTTGTTGTCTCCGTTTGTATACCGAGAATGAAAAAGTCTTAAATCTGAATCCCTCGTTCTCATCTCCTCAGTTCACAAAAAAATCATAATGTTTGACTTGAACCTACACTAATTCCTTTTCCTTTTAGAGGAATCCTGGGATCATAACTTATAGTGCAGAATTGAAAGTGTGAAACAGAAAAGCAGAGAAGTAATAAAAATAAAAGGGATAAAAGTGTGATTGTTTTATTTAAAAAAGTTATGAAAGGTGATAGAGAGAAAAGACGAGACAGGTACCCTTAAACAATAATGCTGGCACCCTTGAAATTTTGGGATCCGGTGGGGCAGTTGAAGGAGTGACGAATTCCGGGGCGGCCGGTGAGTAGGGTGGAAAGCTTTGGTAAAAGATTTGAAACCCAGTTGCCGGTGTCGTTGCAGAATTTAAGAATTCCGGAGGTGCAGTGGACACAGCGAATGTGTGCATCCATGTAATCTTGTAAGCCTGATCCACCGTTGTTAAAGGAATCTCTAGTTCCCAAACTGTCAATCGTTGTCCTGGTGAAATTTTGTGAACCGTTTTGGTGGTTGTTAAAGGAGTCTAGGATTTTGCAGGGGGGGAGATGACCGTCTTCAGCGGCAGAGTGTTGTTGCGGAAAATCATTTCTCTCACTTGACGCGCTGATCCTTGCATCCCTGAAAACTTGTGGGCCTGGTCCATGGTTGTTAAAGGACTTTCCAATTCCCAAACTCTCGGTCCTTGTCTTGGTGAAATCTTGTGAGCCTGATCCACGGTTGTTAAAGGACTCTCCAATTCCCAAACTCTTGGTCGTTGACTTGGTGAAATTTTGTGAGCCGTTTTGGAGGTTGTTAAAGGACTCTAGGATTTTGTAGGGGGGGAGATGAGGGTCTTCAGCGGCAGAGTGTTGTTGCGCAAAACGATTTCTCTTACTTGACGCGCTGATCCTTGCATCCGTGAAATCTTGTGAGTCTTTTTTCTTCTTGTTGTTTTTAAAGGAGCCTACACGTTGGGAGAAACCAAAAACAGGGGGATCAGTGGCAGTATCATTAGAACGTTGCCCATTGCTCTTGCTTCTTTCCATCTTGCTTAACTCATTTTTCCTCTCACTTTTCTCTATCACTCTATCCTACTCGCTTCAAAGCAGTCACCACTCACCAGGCAACTTGTTGCCCAAAATCACAATTTCCACCTTTCAGAGGCCAAACACTTTCAAATTCAATGACTTTGAGCAAATACTTTTTCACTGTAAAGACACTTCCACATATCATGAACAAGTTTTTATCACCATTAAATATCATAATAATCTGCCATCGTTAGGAATGCTCTTCCAATTTTCTAATGTTAAACTATTGATTAAAGTACAACAAGAATTTCTTTTGTGATTCTCCAAGCCCCTTATGTATTTATTGAAGTTATTTTTTTTGGTAGAGTATATATTTAATTATAAACACGCGTAAATATATTTATATAAAGATAATATTTTTTTACAAAAAAACATTTATATAAATTAAAATGATATAAAGCATATGGTAATATAAAATTATTTTGAAGATATATTAGTATAAAAAAATTAATATTGTTTTACTTATCTATATACATCATTGAAGATAAAATAATTGAGAAATGAATTAAAAAAAATTAATGTTATAATGTCATGGGTTGGTGTGGGTGTATATAAGTCTTAATCCAATCGGAGGTGTGATTCCACTTTATTCCTTTTCCACAAAAGGACCCAAGGATCTTTTCAAAGACATCTGTTTCATTTTCTTAGACTATTGACTCAAGTAAATATATATGTATTCTGGTATTACTATTTTGCACTCAAATACTCTACCTTCTCTTCACGGTAGCTAGTGCTATTTTTTGAGTGCCCTTTTTGAATCGGTTATTTTTTCGTTATTGAGAGGTATAACAAATATTTTGCTATTTTTCAACATCTTATCGACCTTTTATTCCTCTTCATGATGTGAGGAACCTAACACAAGTTAGCTCTTCGATTGCTCAAGTTACTCCAAATCTTGGTTCCATTACTAAAGAGAGAGTTGTTGCCAAATATCATGGAAATGATTATTACATCCACCTCAAGCAAAATTGATTTATATATATATATATATATATATATATATGTCAAACATTAAATAGCTTCAAATTTTTCCATCAATTAGATTCAAGAAATATAGATATCATTCATCAATTTCGTGTACCACACTTATTTCGAAGTGGTATACTTAATCAAAACATTTAACTATTAGATGGTCCATCAACAAAACTACATTCCACCTCTTTGGCCTTTTAAGATCTTTAAGTGAAATTATTATGTATAATCATTATAAATATCAAATAAATATAAATAATAAGAAACAAGACAATCACCAAAATTATCCTTAATCTTTTCCCCTCTGTGGGATTATCATTGCTCCCTCTAGTCATGCTGCTTTGCTTTTCGCTTTCTGTAACAAGCTGCGACTGGAAATGGAGAACAAAGAATCATAAATTAAATTTAAAAAGTTTAAAAATTCTTTTAAATAGATTAAAAATTTCATTTAAAATGATTAATTTTAGTTAGATTAATTCGAATCTTTGGATCTATCACTATTCGAATTTAACTATTTAAATAAAATAAAGATTAAAATAATTATTATTTAAATTCAAAAATTAGTCCATCTTTAACTTTTATTATTAATTAGTTAAAAATGTAATTTGTAATTTTCTTTTATATCATGTATTTAAAAAAATTTATTATAATATTTAAACTATTTGAAACATGAATAATTTTATTCATTTTAATTTCAAACAAACTAAAAAATATTTGAATGGTTGGATATATAAAAAAATATATAAAATTTTGAAAAAATAAATAATAAATTAGATAAAAAAATTTATTTGAATCAATTATATAATTTAAAATTTAAACATCTTTACTTATAAAAAATCATGTAATAAAATCAAAATCTTTTTAGATCTAAACCTACCTAAATTAATAAGTAATTTGGTGGAGTTCAAATTAAAATAAAACAAAGTATTAATTATATGAATTTGGGTTATATATTAACCCGAAATCGACGGTGGCAGAAGCTTCATGAGGCAAAGTGGTGTTTTACTTGCTTTATTTATCGACAACATAGATTCGGGTACAATTATAAATGCATACAATAGACTTATTATAGGGATAAGATCTATGCATTTTTTAAGGGATTGAGATTGAAGGAAAAAAATTTATATCATTAATATGACACTCATATATATAGAAAAAGGTTTTATGTCTAGGCAGATTACACTCATTTGAATCTTTTAGATTAGGACGACGACTAAGTTCTCTTAGATTTTGTAGCACTAAGGATTCTTTGACTGTTATCCCTTTACTGAGTCGCACAAGATCCATCTCATGAACACAAGGGCGAGACTATCTTATAAACAAGTTTATTTTGATTTTTTATTATTTTTTGTAATAAATAGAAGAAGTTCATCTAGACATGTCTTAAGATTATCTGAATGACTTGTTAACAAGATAGATGAGAAAGAAAGCAAGTTTGTTGTCTCAGTTTGTATACCGAGAATGAAAACGTCTTAAATCTGAATCCCTCATTCTCATCTTCTCAGTTTGTAACGTAGTTAGTAGACTGGAACGGGGCATTCCTAGATTGTAACGGGTCGTTTCAAACTACTAAAATAAGGGTGATTGTGAGTTAAATTCAACTCCAGAACGGGCCGTTCCAAAGTGGTCATTGTGAGTTAAATTCAATTCCAGAACGGGCCGTTCCGATTTTAGAACGGGTCGTTCTAGACGTGCCAGAATGGGCTGTTCTGCATGTGAATTTTACACATGATGAAGGAGCCCAGAACGGGCCGTTCCGATTTTGAAACGGGTCATTCTGGCCACTTCAGATTTCTATAAATAGAGGTTGTGCAGTTGAGGAGAAGGAGAGGTTTTTAGAGAGAAGTTTTAGAGAGAAGTTTTAGAGAGAAGGACTCTGGACTAGGAAGCTTGCTTTGGGTGGATTGAAGTCCCGGGTTGAGCTTCGAAAAGGAAATTCCACTTCTTCTCAGTTCTTGGCTATTCTGAGCCAATCTTCAGGTAAGGGAAGTTAGATTGTATGTTGTTTGGTTGTATGTGAGTTTAGGAACTCATATGGAGTTGTATAATTACATTGAGATGTATGATGAGTAGAAAGTGAAATGAAGAGATGCATGTTGAGTATAGTGAAGTTGTTTACGAGTTGTGTGTTGACCTATGATATTGTTGAAGCATATTGAAATTAAGTTGATAAAGTTGCTATATGTTATGTTGGACATGTATATATTGTAAAGTGCATGATGATAATATTGTGAGGTGTGAGAAACATGATGTGAAGTATGTAGATATGTGTAATTTATATAGATGTTATTAGTAGACTATGTTGTTAAGTTGTTAGAGAAGAGTTGTATATTGCTATAATGTTGTATGTTGTGCCATGTGTTGAAAAGATATTATTTTATGATGATTGAGTTGATTGTGTTGTTTAAAGTTGAAATGTGATGTTGTGTTGTTAAAATGTGTTGTTAAACAACGTTGATGAGTTGTTGTGCTGATATACCATGTTGTTTAAGTTGTAAGTTGATTAAGTTGTGTTGATAAGTTGTTGATCACTAGGAGTAGAGGAGATGTTTTCGAAGTTGCTTATCCCATTGTGCGGATTGTGATAGTTGTGGTTCTCTGATAGCCCAATTTGGTGAAAACCCTCCTTGGGAAGGTGTCCCTTGGAGTGGACGTTGTGTTATTTTCCTCTAGGACTTAGTTGATCCCGTGTGTGGGTAAGGTCGAGGCACACGTGTATAAAGCGACCACAGTATAAGGGTCAGGCCGAGCTATACCAATTACAAGCGGTCAAATGTTTATTGTTGTAAAGTTGTTGTAATGCCTATAATTGTAAAGATGTAAAGTTGAAAAGTTAGGGACATATGGTGAAGATATATGTCCTATGTTGAGATACATAGTACTAAGGTGATAAGTTGAAAGTTATTTTAAAGTTGGATCCCTTAGTACTGTGTGGGCGACATGGAAGTAGTCGATCCATGTCATGGTTGAATGACCAATTTTAGCAAGGTATCTAGTTAGAGATGTAGTCTTTGACTAGGTACTGGAGGGTGCATGGTACTTGGAGGACAGTGGGTGGGCTAACTCTATGTGTGGATTGGTGATGCTAGTCAAGGCCGTGGTAGGCTCATACCCAAACCCCTTTGTCCTGACAGTAGTACGGGACGTCCGAGTCTAAGTGGCACACCTGAGAAATCGCCTATTGTTGTCTATACCTGGTTCTCTTCAGAGTTCCTAATGATGTTCTATACCTGACCTAGTTGAGATAGGTCAAACACTGGATTCGGTAGGGTTTATGCCACCTAGACTGCTCAACCTCAATTGTTGGAGATCTCCGAGTTAAAATGCGTGACGATGCATAAGTTGTTGATGAGTTGATTTGTTGTTGATAAAAGTTGTATCTTTGTTGTTATGTTGTTAGGCAGTGATTGTGTTGTATGTTGATCCTGTTGAGGATGATGATAGTGTTGTTATGTTGTAAGTTGCTTAATTGTATACAAGTTGATGATGATGCTAGTGTCGCTAGATTACCTATGTTGTAAGTTGTTTTAAACATGTGTTGTTGAGAGGTGTGTAACACATGTGTTGGTTGTTGTTATGATGAATATGATAACTATTCCGATGGTTGTACGGTAGTTGCGTTGAGGTGTTGATACAATGTTGATATGTGGAATCAAGTTGAAATGATGTTAAGATGTATAATATATGTGTTGTTTCGTAGTGTGACGGCCACAGCGGGTTGTTACACTTTTATGATATCAGAGCAGTTCGAGTCTAGTGGACACTCTGTGGGGGTGGTCCCTTTAGGCTTTCATTATGTTGAACTCTGTGTTGTGCCGAATGTTGTGCTGATTTGTGTTGACCAGTTGAGATGTATTATGTTGAATGAGTTGTTCATTTTGTAGAAGATGCTTAGAGCAAATGAGCAGATAGCACATGCCATGGAGATGATGGTTATGGCTATGCAACAGCAGAATGCCTACTTTGCTAGGATGGATACTGAGAGAGTTGCAGTTAGTGTAGCAAGACCAGTTGGGTCACAGGAGAGTCGGGACTTGGCTAAGTTCAGGAAATGTAGTCCTCCTCAGTTCAGAGGTGATGCAAATCCGGAGGTGACTGACCATTGGATCTGTGAGATGGAGAAGATGTTTACAGTGCTTGGATGTTCTCAGGAAAGGAAGTTGGCTTATGCCATTTATATGCTAGTTGGGGAAGTTGAGTATTGGTGGAGGGGCACTCATGAGATGTTGGTTGCTAGAGGAGTGGTGG